TTCTGTAAAGTATGAAGGGTTCTCTCTAAAAACAACCTAAATGACAAGTATTTATAGTCTTTGATACTCCATGGTCTTTAGGGTTCCGGAATTGAGGCTGAGAATGACTTTGGGCTTCAGAAATATGGGCTTTAGTTCGGAGTTTGACGGCCGCGGTCGGGAGTGATGTGACCGCGGGGAATAGGTGGTTGGCCGCGGTCGGGAGGCTTGTGACCGTGGGAAATGGGCTGTTGGCCGCGGTCGCATGACTTGCTGGCCGTCTTCGAGTGGCTCTGGGGCTAATGGAATATCTTGAGATCCAACCGTTGGAATGTCTCCCAAACTAAGTGCATTTTAAAGCTGGTTAATTCTTCTATAAGTTGTCCAATTTTGAGGGTGATCAGACGGTTAGAAGGTATTCGTCTCTCTATGAGAGTTCTGACGGTCTGCATTTATCCAAAAGAGTCTTTTTGTTCCAATTTGTGCCTCTTTATCCCAAATTACCTGAAAAGTCTTTTAAAATCCGAAAACATAGAAATCCTTTGAAAACCTTTGGAAATGGAGTAAAAACAACTGTAAAAGATATTAAAGTGATCCATAAAAATGGTCAAAATCCGGTGTTATCAGAGCTAAATCAGGCTCAAATTCGCGAAGGACAAATCATGTGCATTGGTGTCGCTCGACACCATGGAGAGTGACGCTCGACGCTTGTCAAGAAGTAAGGAAAACCCGATTTTTATCTCCTATTTGAAGAAGGAGTTGGGCCCAGAAGTTTCCAAATATTCCCTAAGAAGCCCAAAACGTGTTTTTAAGATATATATAGGGTCTTTTTAGCCTCCTTAGACGGATACCTTAGATTTTCGAGAGAAGACATCTTTGCTTAGACAAGTCTGAACTCTGTTCGTTTAGAGAGAAGATTTCAAACTCCTTTATCTATTCTATTCATCTTATTTTGCAATCTATTCAATCATGTGTGTTGTTTCAATATCCATGTGTGAGTAGTTAGCTTTTTAGGTTTAGGGTTCTCATTAATGTTTTCTCTGGATGTCTGATTGATTGATTAAGTTAGGTGTCATAATCTTATTCGTTCTTCACCATAGGTTGTTCTTAAAGCTAATTCTAGACTGAACACCTAGAACTTAGATCTTAGGTTGCTTAATTGACCCGGAAGTGTAATTAAATAACTGGAAAGAATCTAGGGTGAGCAAAGTAGCTATTCGCAAAGGAATACGGTTTAGATACTTTGTGAACATATCGAACTTGAGCATTAAAGCTGGTTTAAATCTTTAGGGTTTTCAAAGGAATTTGGAATTCTAGGATTTTGACTTAGATAATTCTCACAACGGAAGTTGGTTAATTATATTTTCGTGATTTGAGTTCAAGAACCATGCTTAAACCTGAACCCAGACTAACTATTGATTTGCATTCTTTGATTTCCTGAGAAACGCCCTAAGCCTAATTTCCATCCACTCGAGTTTAACAAACGCTTCTACTGCTTTGTTATTTTAATTTGCATTATTCTGCTTAGCGTAATTCGATTTCAAATAGGTTTATTGAGTGAATTTCTTGTCTCTGTAGTTCGACCCCTGCAATACTACAACTGCACATATGTGCTCTTGCAGAGTAGCTTAGGGATTAAACTTTGAGCAGATCATATGTATTGCCACAGAAGTTGAGATCTTGCAACTCTGCCACTCGCAGACAATCCCAAAATTCCCTCATATTAAAGTCAACGTTCTGAGACATTGCTGCAGAGTGCTCTGTAGGGTGGAGAGTTTGGTTGAAATCACCAAGGGTCATCCATGCTATGTCTCCTATAAGCTGACCTGAGGAGAGAGATATTATTTCATCCCATAATTGTCGCATTTCATCAACATTGTTTGAAGCATACACGATGGATACCACAATCCACTGTTGAGCATTAGGGAGAAGAACTTCAAACGTAATCATCTGCAAAGATTTCTGGATGATTACCACTCTAACACTTGGGTGCCATATTGATAACTAAGGTTTTTAAGCCTTTAGTTGGGGTTATCAATCCCTTGTCTTTGTAATACAAAGGGGTTATCAATCCAAACATGTGGGTAGACACTAGTTCATGATGATAGTTTCTTAATCCAAGCAATATGATGAGTTTTGATTCAAACAAGTGATTAACTAAATAGTAAACAAGATTAATAAACTATCAAGTGATCAAAACAAGAAGCAAGCTATAGCAAATGACAAGTGAATGAACATGAAATGATGGAAGCATGAGATTCTAGACATGATTGATGGCTAGGGTGCTTTGGTGCTAAACTAGAAATGCTAATGACAATAATGAAACATGATTCAAGTGATTTGGGATTCTAATCAAGCCTTAATCTTTCTCAAGCATCAAGACACAAATCAAGCCATTTCACATACCCAATCATCATTGGAGATCAAACAATAGGACAGCATTAAGAATCAATCCCAAGTGATCATTTATGCAAATAACAAACATCATCATGGTATTAATGCATAAACCTCTAATTTAGCCCTTTCAGGAATTTCAACAAACACTTTTGGTACATGAAAAATTCAGATTCTAGATCACAAGTGATGTGCAAGGATCCAGCATAGAGATCAGCTATTTAGAGAAATGAAAACATGGATCTAGCCTTAAGCACTTCTAATCTAACACTTTAGCACCCTAACCTACATATCTAGAACCTCATTAAGCAAACTACTCACTAATCATACTAATCTCTCTTAAACCTTTGCAAGTAGAGTAGATTGGCATGATTAATGATGGGAAATGAAGATGGAGATGATAGATGATTATGGATTGCAGCTTTAAACACAAAAGATCCTTGATTTCTCTTGATTAAGACTCACAAAAGTAAATATCTCTTACAAAGGAGAGTCTTTCACAAAAGAGGCAAAGAAATAAGAGATAATAAAGCTTAAGTCTTGGGAAAACCCTAAAACATATTCATATTTAGTAGTTCGAACCGGGTCAGTCCAGGAAAAACTGGGTACTGACCCGGCTTCAAATGGGCAATGTGTTAAGTGTGCAAGTTGGTCAGGTGCTTCCCATCCCGCAAGCCTAAGTCGCACAGCCTTGCAATCTGTTTTGTGTGCCTAAATCTCTTCAGCCCCAACCGAATGCTTATCTCGGTCTGTTCTGCGAACATATGTGCTGCTCAGGTTTTCTGCTCTTCAACTCGCACAACCAAGACGCATTTTGGAGAAGATATGTGTGCGAGTTGGTCTTGCTTGGCTCCAAGTCGCACACCCAACTCGCACAAGTCTAGAAGCAAGATCTTGCGAGTTAAAACCTTGTAGACCCAAGCGCATTCCCTTCTCGGTCTTAACAGCGAACATATGTGCGGTTCAGGTTCTTTTTCAATCTAACTTGCACACTCATGTAGCACAGGGCTTGAAGCATGTGTGCGAGATAGTTTCCCTCACTTCCAAGTCGCAGGCCCAACTTGGTCTAAAGCGCGAACATATGTGCGGTTCAGTTCATTGCTCGGCCAACCCGCATACCCAAGTCGCACAGCTTGTGGACTTAGCATATTTCAGCTCAGGGATCTTTGGTCTTGCTCAGTGTTGCCTTACCCGCACATCTCCACTGGCAGCTCATTTCCAGAATTCAATCTCTGAATGCTGCGAGTTGACTAAGTCATAGAACCGTCTCGCACAATCCAAGTCTTCTCGGACCACTTCGCATTCAGGGCAGCGTAACTTCCAGGATATGGATTCAAATGGCTTGTTTCCAACTTCAGCGGAAAGAGCACTCAAACATATCAAACTTTGGTGAATAACGCAATGACATCCGGGGAGTGGAAGGTCTCACGGATCGCTGATTTCTACAGTGTATCAGAACGACTCAAAGAAGGTTTATGAACCTGTGTTCCTTTGGTTGCGTTAACTCCCAGCTCAGGGCTCCAAATTGGGCGATCTCAAATTTTCTAGAAAGACGACTCAAATATCTTAAATCTTGATGAAGGCCTTGAAAACCTAATTGGTCTGGAAGGTCATCGTCCTTGGCGATCTTTGAAGTACATCGGATTCGGTCTGGAATGTGTGCGAGACAAGCGTGTCTTCCGGTGGCCATAACTCACAGCTAACTGATCTGATTCACCAATTCCAACTGTTCTGGAACCACATTTCAATCCGCTCCAACATTTTTGCAGACCCCGGCAGCTGAATCGGTCGGCAAGTCTCTTCGGATAGGCAATCTTTGGCGCGTATCGGCACAGACGATTTTTAGTCGAGGGCTCATGTACCGTGGTAAGAGGTTTGGCCGAGGTTGCTGTACCTGTTTGAGATTTTTAGCCGATAATCCTGTAGCCTGCAGTACGTACTAGAACCAAACCAGTCCATGTTCTGATCAGCATTTTTGCCCGATAGGCTTCCTTTTCCGTGACCGCACTGGCATCGAACCAGCATCGACCAAGACTTGATTTTCACCCAATAAACCTCTTGACCCGCGATAAGCATTTTGATCGACGGAAAACCTTCCCGGTAAGCTTTTTAGCCAATAAAACCTTTTCTCCGGTACAGTTTGATGCCGATAACAATCGGGAAGCCATTTTCACCATTTTTGAACCTCCAAACTCCATTTAAACACCTGGTGGTCTCAACTCTTCTGCTCCAAACAGACTCCAAAGTACCTATTTAAGACTCCAAACATGCAAAGACTCCTTTGGACCTATTGCAGCTCCTAAGTCCTAAAACAATGCCTAAAGACCTAAAATGCATGAGACAAAACATGATTTGGACTAAAAATGCAACCTAAATGATGCAATTTATGAACATATCACATATAACCCAAATTTTAACCAAAACTCAGAAATCATAGTTCTCATCGAGAGACCAACCAGGAAGGATCTGATCTATAAATCGCTTACACTTCGGTTGCCTTACATGCGTATCTATTATGCCGCCAAAGATGGGATTATTAATCCTACACCATTTTTTAAACCCGCCACAGTGGTTGGAAATATTAAAACCCCGGACGTTCCAACAAAAAATTTCTTTACGCATAAAATTTATGCGAGGTTGGGGCCCTTGCCCCTAGAACTCTTCTTCTTCTTTTTAGAGACAACCTGTTGAAAGCCTTGAGACATCTGTGGTTCGTCCGGGCTCTGAGAGTCGCCTGAATCGATATCATATGAATCTAGTTCAACATCAGAAAGAGCACTCTCAACAGCATCAGTGTCAGCCGAAACCTTGCTTTTATTATGCACAACTTCACTAGATTCTTCATTGTCTTCCAACTTAGACATTCCCAAAGAAGATTCACTGAATCTCATCACCTCCATAGAATATTTGGCAACGCTCATATTCTTATTCTCCATATTCACGTCATGGCTCTTAGCTCTGCCCCGCCTTGATTTAGGATCCTTGGAACCTGGGGGTTTAAGCTTGGGGCAACTCTCATTGTCGTGAGCAGTTGCTTTGCATTTAAGGCACTTTATAGGAGCAAATTTATAGTGCTTGAGACTATGCCCAACTTCTTTGCAGTGTTGGCACACCGAAGGCATCCATGGGCTTGATACCAGCACTCTCCTAATGTTTTCAGAGTCGAATTGGATGTTTACCGCCTCAGGCAAAGGCTTTCGGGGATCTATCATTGTAAACACTCTTGCAACCCCAGATTTGATTTGTTTGCTGTTGCCGGATGCAAACACTTTGGATGACCCACCAAACTTTGTGTTCCAATCCTTCCTCATTGAAAGCTTGGAAAGGAACATTTCGTAGCTCTAGCAAGATTGGGGCTTGAGTCAGCTCCGGTTTGGCTGGAATAACTCCTGGTTCCAGTTAGCGACGAACATTGTCTGTCCCTCTATCTGCCACAGCTTCTGGTTTAGGACCCGTTGCCTGGTTGAGGCATTAGGTATCCTGAACAAGAAAGCAAATCCTTCCAACCTGGAAACTGATATATCTCGGTACTGCTTGCTCCAAATGCCGTTGACAATGTTGTGAATAATGCCTTGCAATGGAGGGTCAGAATAGAATCGACCAAGGATGAATGAAACCCAGGATTTATTGTTTTTCTCAATGATGGAGTTTGGGATTTTGATACAGGATTCGCCTAAAGGAAGCTTGAACTCATCGCCTTTCTTCTGCAATTGCTTTGAGCCCCTGAAGAGCCCTGACCAAGAATCATTTGCAGGAGATTGATTTTGTTCTTTTTCCGCCGGAGCAGCCGTCGAGGCGGATTTCATGGTGGTAGTGTTTTGAGCTCGCGGACTCTTTGCTGGGGCATCATCCTTTGAGCTACGATCCACATCTGGAGTGGCTGGTTTCTCAGCTTTCACAGAAGAATTTTTGAGATTTGGGGGAATCTGGGAGGAGGAGAAATCGAGAGAAGCAGCAGCCTCTCCAATCAGATCCACAGGAAGTACCGGCAGGCTAGGAGAGCCCGAGGCAGAAACGGGAGTCGAGTCTTGAGATCTGATATCAGAAGGAGGTGATGGCGGAGACGAGATCTGGACTGAAGAGGGGATATCAATTGATTTTTTGAGTGGAGGGGGTTTTGGGCTTGTGAGTGGTCCCGGAAGAGGAAGCCGGCGACGGGCGAGCCGCCGGCAAAGAAGAGAGATAGCACTCACTGTTTAGGGCAAATTGCGACCTATGAGAGAGAAAATCGTGAAAGCTTTTTCTGACTTTTGACTGTAGTGCTCCGCGAAGCTTCGCGATGATTGGTTTCTTGGTGACATAACGCTCAACGATTTTAGTTGCTGTCCTCTTCTCGGGCAATGTATTTGGCTCCAGCTCTTTTATCGTGTTTAAAAATGAGAAGCTGAACATTATCAAATTTATCCATTCATTGGACTACAATTTGTATTGGGATGCTAGAATGTTTAATCGGTTCCCCTTGTAAATGCCCTACTTTGGCTTCATCTTTTATGATTAATGAGTTTTCGGACAAGAAAATACTTTATATAAAAATCTACACACATTATTTTAAATCAAATATAATAAAAAATGCTCTAACATTAAAGTAAACCAAGTGTTGTTAGCTCGACTGGTAAAGGGGTCTTAGCCAAACCTTAGAGGTTACAGGATCGAGTAATGCTTAGGGCGAAACTAATATTATACTAGATGAGTACCCACGCATATGCGTGGGTTTTCTTTTTAATATTTTTATAATGTTTAAAACTGAAGTTTAGTTTTATCCTTAAATTTCAGTTTACAATTCCTTCACTATATCACACATTTCACGCGTGAAGAATTCGAAGGCAAACATTCTAGCAAGAAGCGCTTGTGTCCACTTACAAATTATTATTTACATAAACTCGATATTAGGTATCTAGACTGTCGATCAAAAACCAAAAAAAACTGAAATTCAATTTAGATTTTTGGTAATGTTAAAAAAAAATTTAGATTTTTGGTTTTTTTGGACTGGCCATATATATGTTTAGAGAGATTAGTTGTTAACTTGTTTTGTTAAAGTGATTTTATTTTAATTAGTTTTCTCTCGACTTTTTCTTTGGTTTTATGAAATCTTGTCAGAAAATTTCTCTACTAAGAAACGTTGTCTTCAATTAAACGTGAAAAATTATCTTGAACATCATAAACAAAGATATGAGAATCCAGCAAATACTAAATATTATGATTAGGAACCTAAGAGGTATATTCTCAAAATAAATGGATAACTTTATTCCATAAAATTTTCATATTCTCATTGGCAAAACCGTCACAATCTCCACTAAAATTAGAAAAGTTAGGAAATGAATATAGCATGAAAATCTGTGATATTTCATACTACATATTATCTTTTGCATCACAGGTAGAGTTTGGAACTTTAGATAAGCATTACCAGCTATCGTAAAAGCTTACCATATACGTCTTTCTCCATTTTCACCATCGGATTTGGCTCTTGCCGCTCCAGTGGCTTTTTATTGCAGTACTTGGGAGAACCAATACTCCAACTCCAAGATCTGATGGAGATAAAACAAGCTACATTTCATGCACATAAAATGATATAAATTATATTTATCTTTTCTCCACAAAGATTTCTTTAATTATAATTCATTGAGACGAGATTTTTATCATTTCTTGTAAAAACATAGATATTAAAAAATTTACTAATAGATGTAATAGGTCTTTCAGAGTATTATTTTTCTCCCTTAAAATTTTCTCTAAAACAAAAATAAATAGAATAGATAACTTACACCAGCTTAACTTAAAACAAAGTTTTTAGAAATTATTATTATAGCTTCGTCGTCGAATTATTATTATTTTAAAAATTATTATTATAGTTTTGTCTTGCTATTTACTCTTCACAGAATTCTCGAAACCATCATACAAAATCTTCTTTTTAAAAGCAAAATTCTTCTTTTCCTTTAAATGAACACAAACGATGGTATTAAATGTAGATGTCTCTGCCCATGACCAAGAAATAAATCTTAGACCGTGGATTTGTGAACAACATTCACTTTAGTAAGCTTCTATATAGAAATTTGTATAAGTTACAACGTGGAAGCTGTAGATTAGAGATTTATTAGAAAATCTTAGGTAATATTTACTTCTTTCCATGTCTTCTCCTCTATATTTGCTGATTATTTTTTATGCGTTGAAACATGAGTAACAAATAAGAATAGGAAGCATCAAAAATGGGAGTCAAAAAGCCATGAGGCCCATGATGGTAAATAAATCAGTGCACAGAAAAATGAACATAAAAGTAATTAGCTTAAATTAATTAGAGTTTCACTAAAGTTTTTAAATAACAAATAAATGAGTTGATGTGTCATTCAAAGGAGTGCTGATGTGTCAAGTTTGTGAGACTCAACTGAGTCTTTATATAATAGATGCTGGAAAAATTACAGGTTTTGGCCCAAAACCTTCTGATAATTTAAAAAAGAAAATAATGGAGAACAATGTCAGCGACTTAAATGTTAACAGTTATAAACAGGCTTGAAAATAAACAGATCTAAACAGGATTCTTGTTAGATGGGCGAGTTGAGCCTTAACAGGTGAAGTTTGCTCATTTTATTATTCCTAGATGCATATATCTATGATGATACAGTTTATCATAAACCTAAATCGAGCTTTTCTTTCACCTAACTATTTTTCTATCGTGGAATCATCTAGTATTATATGATCACTAATCACATATGTTTCTGAATAATGAACAAAGTAATTCTGAACGAGAAACATATTTTCCGATGAGTCATACGTAGTAAACCAAAGAAGAAGAAAAAATATTGTTTGAAATTTTAGAAAGACGAGATACAAAAGTCAAAATTCGTCTTATGTTCTATATTTTGGATTGAGTAGATTCTAAAGTTTTTAAGGTGTTATCTTGTTGACATGGATATCTTTTAAGATTTTTGAATTTTCAACTAATACTTACGAAATGATTCTACAGTGATTTATTTAAATATTTATTTATTGCAAAAAAATAAAAACATACATGAGATATTAATTGATCGAATAATACAAAAAAATGCATTACAAATTTTTGTATGGTTTCTCAATTACTGTTACTCACATATCCAGCTGAATGTTTTGCAGAACCTTTTTACAGGATCTTGATAACCTTTACCAGGGACGATGTATTGCCCACCATTTATTGGATCACAAATTATTTTGCAAGGATTGTCACACATTGCTTGAGTCGCTTTTTTTGATGCTTTCATGCATAGATTTGCAACACAGTCTTTTATGCAGACATCTATCGTGTTGGAATGAGAGACTTGTGCAATTGTAAATAAAATTACAATCACTAACACACTGCAAAAATTCTTCGACACTTGAGCAACCATTATGTATTCTGATTATGATGCAAACTTTAAAAACTGTATTCTATTTTTTTTCCTGGTTTAAAGCGAGTTGATTTGGTAAGAAATTTTTATTGATCTAAGATGATTTATATAGTAAAATGGTTTTAGCAAACTTTCAATGTTTACTATTATTAGGTGGTCAATTTTTTTTTGTTTTTTTGTTTTTTTGTTTCTCTTTCTTAATTAGGTAAATATATTGGTGGTGGTTTATACTTACTGATGTGGCTATCTAGCTTCTAATTATTGGTATCTATATACTTATTTGTGTAGTGATTTGCTTACGTGTTGCGATCACAGCGTAATCACAGTCACAGCAAGTTTCACGCTTTTCGCTTACGTATCAGCTCCAAAATGAGTTTTGGCCGCAAAAAGACCGTTTAACTCTATTTTCCAATTACGTGTCAATTTTTAATTGGTTCTCATCTGATGACGTGTCAAAAAATTTAAAACAAACTGGTCTAAATTATTATGGTTAAATGTTTAATTCCAAACTCAATCAAACCATTTTTTAAAATAAGATTAAAACGAAGTTTAGGCAAAAAAAAATTAAAAACGTTTTTATTTTAAAAAAATAAAAAAAACGAAATTTTACCATTTTTAATATCTTCAAAAATGGTTTTCTAAAATTAAAAAAAAAAAAGAAATTTACCATTTCTAATATTTTCGAAATAATCAAAAAATCTAACTAAAATGTTAACTATGTTGTGAAAACTTAGAAACTTTATTAATCACTGGAATGTATATATAGAGTACATAGGGAATCTAGGTTAAGTACAATGCCCTGATGGGCCTAATGGGCCGGTATAAGAGTCCATATATGATATGTGTTATAACACTCCCCCTTGGACGAGTGAACCGGGCCAGCTACTCAATCGGGATCTCGATAATGCGCTGGGGAATGTTGCCTCATTAAAACCTTACCAGGAAAAACCCAGTGGGAC